TGATATATATATATATATATATATATATATATATATACATATACATATATATATATATATATATATATATATATACATATCATATATATATATATATATATATATATATATATATATATATATATATATATATATATATATATATATATATACATATATATATATATATATATACATATATATATATATATATATATATACACTACAACCAAAAACAATGAACGTAACGTAACACAATCTGTTTTGTAATTCTTGTAAACAAAATTTCTTACATAGTAATTCCTGGGGAATTATTTAAGACAAGGGAAATAGGGGAAATAATCACTCTCTTAATATAAATATGTAGGCTATATATCTACATATTTAATTGTAAATGTCAAAACAAATAAATAATTACTTTAGAATATAATGAAATTGTTTAACACTATTCGTGTTTACAAAATGTTTTTGTCTATAATCAGAATTTAATATATCGTCATCATAAATGCTAAAAAATTACAGCATAATGAAAGTTTTTAAAATCAGAGTTGGTATAAAACCACTCTTTTCGATAACTAGCAAAACATTCGGAATAACAGCCTACATATAACTAAATATCAGTCTTTCAGTTCAGTACATACATTTTGATTAACAACTGCTTCTTTGTGTTCTTTAAAGATCATTTTTTTAACATAGTGATAGGTATGGGTTAGATCACTGTATTGATCACACACCTTTTTACTGGTATTTTTAAAAACAATATTCACATAGTGTTACGTTTAAAATGCTAATTTTCTGGCGGCATGTTACTATGGTACATCATTACGCGTTCTCTACATGTACTTAACAGATCAGTTCGGGGTGGGTTGGGGGGGAAGGGTTCAACTTCATTCACCACTGTCCGTTTACTTTAGGTCAATTATCCAACCCAGTGTATACCTAGGTGTGACGTTAATGTCGCTCTGCACAATTGTGGTGGTGAGGTGTGGAGGGGGGGGGGAGGGGGGGAGATAACCAACTCAGAGTGAACATAGCGTCAGTTTTTAGATGACTGTTCTAAACATACATATATATTACACAAATATATATTACACAGATATATATTACAGAAATAGATTTAAATAAGTAGCAGTGGTATTATGACAATATTTTTTACAGAGGGGTCCATGGGGGAGGGGGGGGGTGTAACTGTTTCATATAATTTGTAATCGTAATCACTATCGCCCAAACTATTACTGTATTGTAATTTTTTTTAAAAATTAATTACAAGATTCAAACTGTATATATAAAGTAATTATGTGTGAGGTTTTATGTATAACATTTTCTAATTCAATTATTCGTAAGCAAATACATTATTCAGTTGCCTTAAACACCCCTCTTGCCAATTGGTACTACCGTAGAGGTATTTTAAAAATTGCAATACATCGTAATGGTTATTTTTAGAATGGCAAACTGATGCAGCTGTTAATACGTGCTGTAAACGTAGACACTACTAGACTAGAACAATAATGCAAAATATTGCTGCATGAAAAGAAATCTTGTGATTTACATAGATGTGCCGACCAAAAATATTTTTTTAACAAATATCATTGTTTAAAACTTTGAATTTAAAAAGTTTCCAAAAAGGCGCCACTTTGCTGAAAATGGCCAGAGGGGGAGCGGCCGCTCCCCCTGCTCCCCCCCCCCTGCGTACGCTACTGGAGACTAGTTACTCAAACAACATACTCCTAACCATTTCTAAATAACTCTTGTCAATCTCGTGCATTTTTTCCCCTAGTTATAGAGTACTGGAATTGCACTGCTATACACCTTTCGCCCCGAAGAAAAATACCTTAAAGAAACTCTGGTTTAGGGCCTATATAGTTGCTTTCCACTAGTTATAAATTAAATTAATATGATAAAATAATAGTGGTTCAACTTTATATTTTCTTTATAATCTAACACTTTATTTTTTTCATTTTTTATAAACCACTGTCAATGTGCATGAAAGTATTTTTCATGAAAAAAAATGGTTTTTTTTTTTTGTCTTAATAGCCCCCCCCCCCCCCCCTCCCAGTATTGAGGGGTTTGGCTTGGCAGCATGCTAGTTCCGTCCCGGAAAACTACTTAAAAAATTAATGTCAACGCTCTACTCTAGGCCTAGATTTTTATTAATTTTATTTGACTTATTTTGGTTTTGTAATGAGCCTAATAGATCTAGATCTAGAATCTATATTAATTTTAAACTGCTGATGGCTATGTTTTGATCTGGATGTACCGGAAATAGTAAATACAAGAACCACTACTCGATGAAAACTAACCGGCAACTAGAATCTAATATTCTACCTGTACTGGAGGCCTAGGATAACTTACTCATAGATCTATCTGCCAGAAGACTGAGAGCGCTAGATCCTAAAGCTGCTTTTGTAAGAAAAATAGTCAAGTTAATCTTTTAAAGTTTTGAATTGGATAAGGGCATAGATCTAAATAATATATGAATCTTATCAATGAAACCTAAAAATATAAAATAAAATAGATCTAGAAATAGTAACTAGATCTAGATCTATTAGTTCAATGAAATAGATTATTTTTTTTTAGATAGGCAGTCGAAAGGTAAAACTTCATTTCAGCGTATTTTATTCCCCGCTTCACGTTCACCTCCAGTTGGGCGTATTTTATCATAAACACAACCGAAACACACAAAAACGTTAGGAAATTACTATTTCTTTATGAATTTTTGGTTTAGTTTTTTAAAATTAATTTTGTCAAAACTTGAGAAAAATCCAAAATTTGGAATATTGATTAGGGGCCTTTTGAATGCGTGTATTTTTAAGTTAGATCTAGATCTAGAATCTAGACCTCTAGATCTAGTCTAGTCTAGAGTTAACTTTTTTTCTTGAAAATGTGTTCGTGCCAAGATTTCAAATTGCAAGGCATGATACTATAGTATAAATTAACCTACATGAACTCACAATGACCCTAAAAAGCCCTAGCCTAAGCTATGACGCATGCTCAGATGCTGATAATAATTAAAGATAAAGTCAATATGAACTCACGGTTAATACTTGACCAAGTAGGGATTTTTCTCCCACCCACGAGCGATCACACGCTATTTAATTGTAACTGTAAGGCTCATTTGTAATATTTTTTTAGGCCTACCTTTTCTAATTAAAATACATTCAGATTAAGTTTTCATCAAGAATAGGCCTAAGTAGCATTAGTGCAAGCGTTGAATTTGCATATGAAGAAGAAAAAAAACTTCACACAATAGGATTAAATCTTATCAACCCCTGTGTGTTGAAGATGGTGTGAAATTAATTCTTGGGGATTCTAGTGCAGTAAAGATGCAAATTGCAATCAATATATTTGTCTAATAATACTATTCAGCGGCTTATTGCATACATGTCCGTCGTTGTTAAAGAACAAATTTTGAATTAAATCAAACTTTCACCATTGTTTGCTTTTCAAGTTGATGAATTAAACAGACGTGAGTTCATGTTAGCAGTTGCTTGTCTTTGTGAAATAAATTCATTAAAAGGATAGCAAAGAAGTGTTGCTATTTGTTGCTAGTTGTTCTTGTAAGTGCAAGGGAATTATGACCTTTTAATAAACGACAAAGAGTGGTTGGAGAGAGTATCTTATATATTCGAACATCAACATGAGCTTAATCTGAAGCTACAGGGAAAATGAACAAATATTTTCTCTTCTCATGATAATCTCTTGGCATTTTTTAAATCAAAGCTGCAACAATGGTGAAGAAAAATAAAGCTTGGAAATATTGTTTGAGAAACTCTGCAGTGTGGTAGATACATGGGTAGATGATTGTGAGATAAATAAAATTTGAAAGAGGATCCTGGGCATCTTGAATCTCTTGAAAACGAAGTGTGGCGTTATATTCCCTGAGCTGAAAGAAGAATCTGCATTCACACGTTACCCATTCTCTGCTTCCCTTGATGTTGCCAGCATTCCCGATGAATTACAAAATGAACTCGTACATTTGAGGAATGATTCCGCGTCACTAACCGATTTTGGTGTATTATGCACCATTCATACCCAAACGTGAAATTGATTGCCTTTCGAGTTTTAGTTTCTTTCGTGTCTCCATATCTTTGTGAGAATAAATTCTCAACATTTCTTAAGTTAAAAAAAAACGAAGAAATAAATTAATGTTGAGATTGACATGAGGTTGATGTTAACAAAAACTCAACCGCGAATGTTGAGGCTAGTTTTTATTTAAACAGATATCAAATTGAAAGTCTACTAGAAAATCTTATTTTAGTGCTTATTAAATTCCTTACTAATTTCGACTTTTTAATTCTATGGGGGTCGCGGGTCACTTACTTTTTATAAAAAAAAGTTTGGGAACCACTGATCTAGAGTCTAGTCTCATGTCCATTTTGATGATTTTTCATTAAGCCATTGTAACTAATAGACTATTTTTAGTTTAATTTTTTAGTGATAAAGGTTTTAGACTGGGTAGGCCTAACCTAAATGTAATGTAATTTATTTACCACATTGCATTCACCTCCAACTGCCAGTTAAGCATTATTTTATTAAAACATACACTAGGCCTATTAAACTTTAAAAAAACATTAGCCGTTAAAAACACTATTTTCAAACTATTTTGGTAGTCTACTTATTGTTGATAGGCCCAATGCCTTATTGTCTTCTTGATTTTTTTATGAGTCTCTATTTAATTAGAAACTGTTAGATCTAGATCTACAATTAATTATATAATGAGACAAACATTGCCTGACAGTATTAGGTTTTATAGTCTTAGTTGTTTATTCAAGACATCGTCAGTGTGAGAAAATTCCTGCAATCTTTAGAGGTCAATGTGAGTTCACATTGGTTTAGATATCAGCATGTCATAGTTTGGGTAGGCCTAATTGCTACTTGAATTTGAATTTGTGATGACGTCATGTTAGCGATTGTTTATAATACTAAGCATGTGAGGTGCTTGAAACAATATGCAATATTTGTATTTTACCCATACTGTGAAAATGTTATTAACATGAACAAAATTTTCAAACAGTTAATCACATTTATTAGGCTCTATTTAGATCTATTTACGCTGTTGAATTTAGATTTTTTTTCAAGTTTTCAAAATTATAAAAATTATAACAAAGTTTAGAAAAAAATAAAGAAGTAGGCCTGGTATTTTCCTAAAGTTTTTTTTCGTGTTTCAGTTTTGTTATTAAAAAAATTACACACAACTAGAAGTGAATGTGAGGTGGTGAATAAATTACCTAATTTGGAGTTTTATCATCATTATTGAATTGATAATAATTTATTCTAGAGTTGATACATAGCTTGGATAAATAATTTTTTTAGCATTTAAGCCTAGGCCTACTTCTTGTTTTTTTTTTTTTGCTTTATGACAACAGAATATTTGCCCAAGATTTTCATACAAATATTTCGGCTCTTCAAACAAACAAAAAAAATATGCTACACACTTTTTAAAAAACAATCAGATGATTTTGTTATTTATGATCATTGTATAAAAATAATTTTGTATTAAGAGAAAGTAATAAACTTTATAAAGTGTTATGAGTACTGTACTGGTAGCAATTAGTTCTAGATAATAAAGCATTCCCTTTTAGTCTTTATTAGTTAATTGACTAAAGAGGTTCAAAGGGGAGGGACATACAAGAGTTTTAACTTAAGGTAAAAAAAATGCTGTAATTAAGCATTGTACAGTTTCAAACTAAAGGCAGTTTTGATCACTTCCATCTTTTATGACTTGAATAGGCCTATACTTTATACTTTTAGCAGGAGTTTTAATTTAGATTATTTGCTTTAAAATTTAAAAATTAGGCCACAAATATTAAGAGACATTACTAGTCAGGGCATCTAATTTAAATGTTGTACACTCACACATAGATTCAATTTGTGATGTTCAGTAATTAATCAAAAGATACATCATAATTACAAACAAAAGATTACTGTTGCTCCATTTTAGTCTAACATCCTTATAATGGGAATCATACATTTTTTTTTCAGGTATAAATGGCTGATTTTGAGGCTAATGGAGTTATTGTCAGTGATGATGAGTTAAAACCAGATGTACATAGTGATAGTGTGAAACCTGTTAAAGAATTGGATTCTTCAAATAATTCAACGACTGTGCAAAAGCTTATAATACCAGACAGATATACATCGTCAGGGGCACTGAGAACTCAAGCAGAACGACGCACAGAACTTATTGAGCAGTTCAAAAGGTATGCTATAAGTTTTTGATTTAAAGTTTGTAATGAATAATATTTTAATTATTTATTTTTTAAATTTTAAGTTTTCTTTAAGTGATACCTTTTCTTACCCTCAGCAAACCCTATGTTTATGATGAACATACAGAAGCACTGTTGAGCTTCTTGGCTCAACCCAACATAGATTCCAGGGACTTCCGGGCTAAAGTTTTCAGGAACCAGGTGATTAGAAATACATTTAACAGTTCCATTAGATACAGACATTTTATTTCCTACTAGTAATGTGACCTTTTTTTTTTTTCAAATTTTTAGCAGATTTTCACTATCTATAATCTATAAGATTAAAAAATTTTGTTAGTTTTTAATTATATATTTATTAAAAATTAGGAAATGGTAGTTTGAAATTGTTGCTGTTTTATGAAGGAAGTTAGCAGGTCCCTTCCCATTTCTTTGTAGCATTTCATGTGTTGTCTGTCTACTTGTATTTTAGTTAAGATTCCATATTTTTTAATGTTACCTCACAGTTACACTGTGATCATGCTTTATTTGGGGACAATTTTTAAATTTCTGCTCTTTTTAATAGCAAAGCAAAGACTATACTAAAAAGATGAATAATGGCACGGCTACTATTACAATATTTTTGGCTAAAATGTTTTTGCATTTTTAAATGTTATTTCCAAAGAAGTAAAATGTGAAAACTCTGTCCATGTTTTTCATTTAGTGGGGTAGAAAGTTCAAATTTATAATTAGTTGTAGAAGGAGCGGTAAGCCATGTGACTCAGGAATATTTTTATATTGAACAAGTCTACTTGTTTGAGTGTAGGCCCATTTAATTTACTAATTGTTTCATTTAAAATTAATTAACAGCCTTGTTAGATCTCAGGAATTTTGTAACCATTTCTTATCAACATTATTGTAGTAAATTTAAGGAGTGAAAATACACCATTAACAATTGAACTTAGTTTTATGTGAGCTTTATCAATGGTTAGCTATATAAAGCATTTAGTCCATACAATAATGGTGTGAAAGTGCTTTATTGTGATACATTAGAACTGCCGTAAGCTTATTGACTTATTGAGGCTGGTTGAAAATAATTCCTAGAATTTTTTCATATCTGGTCACTTCTGTTCTTAAAACTACTATTTATTAATGAAAGGTTTGAATCACACACTTTAATGTATAAATGTGCAAATGGTTGAATTGTAGACCACATAATTTTTAACTAGAAGGTAATATCTAATATCAGTATAAAAAAGAAAAGTATTGTCATTGCTATGCCCATTTGACTTAACTTTTCCTAACTGCTGAAGTTAGGTACCCATTAGAGCTGGATTGACATCCTGCTGACTTACATGCACTATCTGACCAAGAGACTTGTGGCTTAGCATACATGTACTCTTCCACTTTGCCCATAGGTCAACTGTAGCTAAAGCTAAATGATTTTATTAGAGAAAATATTGGAAGTTAAATAGAGTAAGTGTACTTCCTTCCAGTGATTGCTTATTAAATAAGCTTATTAAATTGAGCTTTGTTTTTGTCTACAGCTAATGTTGTCAGAAAATATGGATGAGGTCCCATCCAGCTTTGCCAAGAACTGGATTACTGTAGTCTGTCCTGTTGGTTCCAGGTGTTTGGTTGTCTCCAGTCGGGTAAGTTTTTGAATAGTTTTGTTTGATTCAGGATGGTAAAACCAGCTCTTTGTCTTCTGTGTTCTTTTATTCTGAGTAAAATTATATCTGACGAGAAAAATGGCCCGTTGAGGAAGGATACAACGGGCGCTAGGTTGATAGTGCCGTCTATTTTCTCTAAACTAAAACCAAAACAAAATCACCACCCCATTTTATTTTAACCCCAAAACGAAAAATGACATTGAAAACGGATTTTTATCCAGAATCGGTACTTTAATTTATACAAAATATAGTCATAGGCATATCCCTAAACCATGCACCTTATCTCATTCATGACAAAAGTTGCATTTAGAGTTTCTTTCAGGCAACTCTACTACAGAATCAATGACGTCATATTATTTTGTGCACTCTCCCGGCTGTCGACTTTTTTCTACCATATGCTGAATATGACGTCATATTTCGCTTCCGCTTTACTGTGAAAGTTTTTATTTTGCTTGTGTTTTCTCTACAGCGTTCTTGTCAGACAGATAGATAGATACATAGATACACAGACAGCGAAACTATTAGTATTAATGGGAGCTTTGCATAGTGCTGACCATGTTATCATATGTTCCTTTTATATACTGAGGTCACAGAAATTGATTAACTCAATGTTATCTGTTTTTAAACAGTACTTTATGAATGTACAAAAAAAATCTCTATGGTTCCCAGATAAATGTGGATACGGAAATCTGTAACGGAAAAATGAGCAAATAAAAACTAGTTATACTAATACACTTTAATTTCATAATATTACAAGGAGAAATATTTTATTATGTTAAAATGTGCATGAAATCCATCTTTGCGAATGTCGAAAAAAGATTGGATTACAAAAAAAATCTTGTGACAAGTTTTCCATGGCGTATGTTTCTGGTACCTAAATATATGTGTGTATATATATATATATAGTTAATTTTTGTTTAACCTATGATTGGTTGTTGTTTCCAGGGCTACACCGGAGCTTACACAAAGTCAGGCTATCACATTATCAGTCACCCATCAAACCTTCCGTTTGGGAATAAAATGATGCAAGGTATATCAATCGTATTTAACACTGTAAAATGTATGTGCAACTTGTACTTTAAAATAACAGCTGTTTGTTTTTTTCTAATGGTAGGTCTAAAATGGGGGATGTTCAAGGGACATAAACTTTTATTAACTCCTTTTTTAGGTGGTGGTGTCTGCTTACTAGACTGTATCTACTGCAATGACTCTGAGACATACTTTGTTTTGGATGTGATGTGCTGGGATGGTCAGCCCACTTATAGTTGTGATGTATGTAATATTTTATCTGCATTTGGAGATTACAGTGCTGTTGAGCATAGGCTCTATGATGTTGTTATTTTAAGAAAGTAGAATTATGTACAGCTAAGCTTTCTTAAGGTGATAAAATTTTTCATGGGCTTGTTAATCCTTTTCAATGACCAAACCATTGTACATTACAGACTCAGACAAGGTTCAAACTCTTGCAAGAGAAACTTCGAGAGTTTGATTTAAGCAGAGCATCTCATATGAATCCAGTAAGTTTTTAAATGTCTTTTTTGATTTATTGCTGAATTTATAAAAAAACCACAGACTTTTCAATGTACTGAATTTAATTTTAATTTATGTATTTATTTGAAACAGATATCCTGGGAAATTACATTATAATGCAATGTTATTACTGGCTAGTTAAAATCGTATCTGTTTAATGAAGTCAACTGAGGTCAAAATAATAATAAATGTATTGACGTTTTCTAGTTTGTTTCATGGTATTCCTCTATCATTGCCTAAACTCATCTTTGTTAGTGGGTCTCTGAGAGTTTGAAATTAAAATTTCTTTTTTTTTTTACTTTTTTGGTTGTAGATAGCCTCTTAAGAATGGGTTCTTAGAATTTAAAGTTGCTTTTTCTTCATTTCTATTGGTTGAAGACAATCTTTTAGTTTTAACTAGCCCTTCTGATGAATGTACCAATTTAATAATAAATTATACTCAACAGAATTGTGTAAAATTGACTTCATATGCTCCATTTAAAACCTGTTTCCATTTTGTTCAAAGTAGGAATTTCACTCTTTTGATGTGTTTTAAGTATTTTGTAATTTGACAAGTTTCATATTGCACTAATTAAGTACTAAAATCTGTTATTACAGTACCCCTTTGTAGCAGTGAAAGCATTCACACCTACTAAAAGCAATATTTGTGGAACAGTAATAGCCACCCCATACCTAGTAAGTTGTTGTATTTCATAACATTTTGTTTACAGTTTATATTGTCTTTATTTTTAAAAGATAATTTTAAAGCATTGATATTATTATTGTTGTTTTATGTACAAACTTCAGGATTAACCTTAGTGTAAAACATGTTTATTTCAACCTTCAATTTGTAAATAATTTTTACATCTCTGAACAGATAGATGGGTTGTTGTTCTTCTATAAACATGCAACATATCGTGCTGGCACTACTCCATGTGCTTTATGGCTGACCCTAGACAGGTTGCCTTCAAAGTTAAAAATTGAAATTCCCGAACTGGGCATCGTAACTGCAGTCAGCTACAAGGATCCTGTTAGCTTAGCTTTAGCGTAAGTTATTTTGTTTTAATAACATACTGTAAGCAATTAAATTGTCATACTTATTAAAAAGATAGGATCTAATTAATATAATAAGCATTATTAAAATGGTGTTAAGAACCTAATTATTTTATTACAGTAAAATTACATTATTTTATGTTTAAATTTTAAGTCATCTTTAAAAAAAATAGAAAGAGAAAAAATTGAAGAAGATAAACTTTGATCTATTTTCAAATGCACTGATAAAGCATTTCAAACACCCATTGGCCAATATTACAGTGTTGCTGATGCTTTGTTATATTTCTAAACGCATATAATGATTTGCTTGCTTAACTTTGGTGTGTTACTGCATTTTAATTTGCTGGTTGTTTTTTTTTATGCTCATGCAGAAGTTGCAAATAATGCAATGCTCTCAAAAATTATAACTTATATTTTTTCAATAGATGTTACTTAACTTAAAATTTCAAGCAATTAGTTCTTGTCATCTTATAGTTATTAGCCACTGAATGACTGATCTTATAATAAGATTAGAAGTAGTATTTTTCATTATTTTTACAGACATGACAACATAATATATTTTCAATCCTCTCCTAGTCTTTTTTCCAGACATGAAGACCTAATGTTTTTCAACTGTCCCAATATCTTTTTCCAGGCATGAAGACCTAATGTTTTTCAACTGTCCCAATCTCTTTTTCCAGACATGAAGACCTAATGTTTTTCAACTGTCCCAATCTCTTTTTCCAGACATGAAGACCTAATGTTTTTCAACTGTCCCAATCTCTTTTGGCAACATTTTTTTCAATCCTGTCCCAATTGTTCTTTTACATACATGGAGAAATACATTTTTTCAACCATCCTTGTCCCATTCTTTTTTCATTGACATCGCAAAATAGTATTTTTTTAGTCCTGCCAGTCTTTTTCCAGACATTGAGACGTAATGTTTTCCAACTGCCCCTAACTTTTTTCACAGTCATGGCAACATCCTGTCTTTTCAACTGTCCCTAACTTTTTTCACAGTCATGGCAACATCCTGTCTTTTCAACTGTCCCTAACTTTTTTCACAGTCATGGCAACATCCTGTCTTTTCAACTGTCCCTAACTTTTTTCACAGTCATGGCAACATCCTGTCTTTTCAACTGTCCCTAACTTTTTTCACAGTCATGGCAACATCCTGTCTTTTCAACTGTCCCTAACTTTTTTCACAGTCATGGCAACATCCTGTCTTTTCAACTGTCCCTAACTTTTTTCACAGTCATGGCAACATCCTGTCTTTTCAACTGTCCCTAACTTTTTTCACAGTCATGGCAACATCCTGTCTTTTCAACTGTCCCTAACTTTTTTCACAGTCATGGCAACATCCTGTCTTTTCAACTGTCCCTAACTTTTTTCACAGTCATGGCAACATCCTGTCTTTTCAACTGTCCCTAACTTTTTCCACAGTCATGGCAACATCCTGTCTTTTCAACTGTCCCTAACTTTTTCCACAGTCATGGCAACATCATGTCTTTTCAACTGTCCCAATATTTTTGTTTCAGCCATGGCAACATCATGTCTTTTCAACTGCCCCAATATTTTTGTTTCAGCCATGGCAACATCATGTCTTTTCAACTGCCCCAATATTTTTGTTTCAGCCATGGCAACATCATGTCTTTTCAACTGTCCCAATATTTTTGTTTCAGCCATGGTGTTAGTCCAGCCATCATCTCCCAGGTGTACCCAGGTAGCCGACACACCAGAATCATGCCAAGATCTGCTGGAGTTCCCGCCAGAAATTTCCAGAACTCTGGCCAGAATAGGCGCCTACCTGAGAGAGTCCCCCCACCCTTCCCTCATAGGTTTGACCAGGGGATAAGAGGTTTTAACCAGCCTGGGCAGGTGTACAACTCAGTGCAAAGGTCAGACAGAGGGAAGAGAGATAAAGGCCCTAATCAGGCACATCCATTAGAGTTAACTGGTCAGTAGTTTGTAGCTTGGTCTTTCAATTATGTGCTATATATAGTGAAAATTTATTGTGAAATTTCTGTTTAAAAATTATATTAAAAATATACTGTGCTGAGTATTCTGCTGATAAATTAGCATCAAAATTAAAGAAATGTTTACAAAATGTGGCAAAATTTTAAAGAGTTTGCTCTTGCAGCTGCTTGTTTACAAAAATGCTCTGTTATGATTGCAACTAAAGTTGATATTGTTTTATTTACTCAATCTTTTATATTTTCAATTTTTTATAAATGTATCCCATGATTTATTATTTAAATCATTAACTCAAAATTGTAAACTTAAAAAGGCATAATACCTAACACCATAAATATATGTACATAATATTAATTAAAGCTCAATTAAGCATAATTTTTTTCAGAGATGATGAGCCAACTGTACCTTCACCATAATCGTCAGCCACCTTACCCTAGACGTGATCAGTATGTACCTGCCTCTGGAAGTCCCTACTTTAGCTGTAACAATAACAACAGCAACTCATATAACGGCAGTGAGTACTCAGGCAGGAGAGGACAGCTGACACTCATCAGGAAGTCAAAACAGTTGAAAAAGAAAAATAAACATCCCCAGGATAAAGTAGAGCCAAACTGGGAGGATATTCACTGCGTGAGTGTCTAATATCTTCATGATTAAAGCTTTTATTGTCTTACTTTACATGGTTCACATTGATACTTGTGTTACAGTGTGAGAATAGGATACCTCCAGCAGCTATTCTTTTTGTAATCAATTGGAACAGATCTCATCACTGCTGATTTTACTATGTGAAATCCAGAATCAACATTGTTTTATTAATTCAGATTTTAAAAAATGTCTCTAGTTACTCAATTCTTTAAAAAATAGTCCTATTGAAAAAATGTGTTGAATTTTAATTTAATCATTAGTTTTATACTAAGTATATTTTTGTTTGTAACATCTTTTAATAATTTTAACATTTTTGGTTTAACTAATGCCTTCTTTTCTTTTCAGACCATGAAATCCCAGTGGATGGAACAGAAACCAGAAAATTTTGACACAGATTATCTCACTTGTATCTGCCCTTTAGCCAAGAGAAGAATTATTGTAGCAGCAAAGGTGTGTACATAACATACCACATTGACTTAGGCTTGGAGGTGTTATAGTAGGTATTCTAAATGAGCCGAAAAATTTAAGCCGGTTTTAAAAAATTTTGGTCGCGTTGCGGCATCGCGCGGCGGTCCGACCCCATAACACATACGCAATTATAAACCACTGATTTAGAAAGAAGAATGGTAGCTCTGTAAGATGGTATAACTTTACCAGCTGTATAATATAATTAAATGCTAAAAATGTTCAATTTAAAATTTTAAAATGTTTTTTTTCCATGAAAAAATAATTTTACAGCCGCCAAAGTTGTATATTCCGAAAGGGCATCCAATTTGCCATAAAACTGTTACGATTTAATGAACACTCCATGTATGGGGTCGGACCGCAGTAAATGAAACCAATGTATACAAATCGCGACGACCCGCATCTAAATTTCGCCGGCTTGAGTCAAGATTTTGTTGAATTCCGGAACACCCGACCTCGGTTCAGAGCAAGATTTTGTGTTTATTCGTTGATTACAGTGGATTTAAAAGCACGTGCAGGTAAGTTGAATGCACATTATATTACTAGCTATATTCTATTTATTTATAATTAACTGCTGCTTTAATACATTTGAATATTAGTGTCCGCTTATCGGTAATTGCTCCACGCTTAAAAAAAAAATTTCCAAAAAATTATCTAGCCTTTTTTAAAAGTCCGTTGTATTTAATTTATGGTCACTGAAATAAATAAACCGGGAGTGTTCTCCCCTAAACTTTCTCGAATATTCTTATATAAAATAACGGGATGGGAAATCGGGCTATAGACATGATTTTTAATCCATTTTAAATACTTAAAGTTTTAAAAATAGAATAAAATCTCGTAGACAAATTAATTGCACACCAAGTGAACGCGAATAAAAAAGCGCATAATAGTGCGCAATATTATTAGTACTTTTAAAATTTACATTAGTTTTTTGAGAAATCGGAAGTAGCGTAAATAAGTACTTCCGGTCAACGAAAAATTCTCAAAATTTGACAGAAGGTAGAGAATTAGATCTTTTACTTACATATCAAATTTCATTTATCTATCTGAAATAGTACTTAAGTTATAGGCTTTTGAAAAATTCAAAGTGGAAAAAGTACCACTTCCGGTTATCCGAAATCGCTCAAAAGTTGATACGGATCTACGATTTTGATAAAATACTTGTATATGAAATTTCATCAACCTAGCTGTAACGGTACTCAAGTTATCGTGTTTACACACGGACACACACACACACACACACACACACACACACAGACACACAGACATACGGACAAGATTGCAAAATTATGTTTTTCCGTATCAGTGAGATGTAAAACGTCGAGATTTTTGCAAAAATCTCGATTTTTTTTTTTGCACGATTACAAGACTTTCTCTATACTTCGTATATACGAGAAAGTAAAAAGGAATGCACAATTAAATCAAAAAGATGTTTAAAAGGATGATAGAATTTAATTTGGTTTAGTAAATTATGTTAGTTAATAACATCGGCCGATTAAACTATCCACATTTTGTCGATATTTCAAGCCGACTGTCCGCCATGTTTTTTTTTTACTTTCTCGTAGTGTTGGGTTCAACTATTATATTACCGCAGCGGTTAACAGCATACTTTCAATTTATTGTAGCATTGTTTTTTGTTGTCTTTCCTAGTTTATTAGTTAACTATTCTATATATGTGCAGTAGTTACATTAAATTTTAGAATATTACGATCTTTTACATTTTTAATCTCTAGATTTATTGTACAGACGACTTAAAATAAAATGTAGCCCCCCTTCCATAATAGTTTAGGCCAAAGTGGTTTCTAGATTTAGTCTAGATTCTAGATCTACTTAGATTAGTTAGATTCACCATTGCTTTCATGTTAATATTTAGTAGTAGAACTATCTATAGTGCTTACATTTAATATCTAAAAAGCATTGAGCAGCCTTACTTTTAATATTATTATTCTATTTACAGAGCAAGATATTAGCATAAAAGAAAGTGGAAACTGAAAGGCCTGCCAAAAAAATATGTATTGTTTGTGTAAGCACCAACAGGACTACTGAATACTTTTGAAGGAAACCATATGTCAAATGTTAGTATTGTATGCACTTTGCTTATTATTTATAATGATGTAATGTTACATGATTGATATCTAAGTTGGTATAAAGATATACAGGCCTGCTATATAAGTCAGTATATTTGAAATGCTAATTAATTGTTTTTATTCACAGACATTTTCTCTACTCTGGACCAATGGAAGGATCCCTTACTAGATTCCATAATTTGATGTGTGCTGCCAGTTCACAATCATTTATTACAATGCTACTCCAAACCTTGAAGAAGACAAACTCAACCAGGATATTGACTATTAATTACAATGCTACCCAACCTAATAGAGAACTTTCCCAATCAGGATATTGACCTGTCTTTTTGAACCTGCTCTAAGATTTCTGATAATTGTATAAGTTAGGACCTAGACATTTCCAGAAGTTGACTTTGATCAATAACTAACTAGAAGAAATAAATATACTAGTAACAAGTAAATTTATGCTAAACAAGTCATGATTAGGAACCAGAGTAACAAAACTAGATGAACATCACAACTCTATTAGTTATCTTACTTCGTCAGTTTTTAAAATGCATGGAATTTCTTATTATTATAGTATATAAGTAAAGTAATAGTATAGTTATTTAGTTTGTTTATAACAAATTAATGCTACCATGTATCCTACACAATTTATATTACTTTCTTAAAAGTAAGAACACTTTTTGCAAGATGTTAGGTAATGAAAATTCTTGATTTTGGGCGTTAAGGAAGGATGCCTTGTATTGTTTTGCAGAAGGATTATTTCATGTTTCTGTGTTTATTATATATTAAGAACATCATATGCTTTAAGTTGGTGTAAGATTTATTAAGATACCTTACTTAAATATTTTTAAATCATTTTTTGAAAAAGGATGAAATTTCAAATTTTTATAAACTGACCTTGCTGAATCTGGTCTCGCTAATTACTTTCTTTACTAATTCTTTACCTGCTTGTTTCATATTAACATGCTTTGAATTTCCTTTCTTAGAACATTTATATTATTAATGTGGCTTAATTAGTTGATTTTCTATGATTTTTTAAAAATGACTGTAAATTAACTTTTTGTCTCCCTTTTCGTACTTCGTTAAAATTGTGCTTTGGCTCATTTTTATGTGAATAAATTTTCTATTTATATCGGTCTGACTACCTTGAAAAAAATTGGGTTTGCTATTTGTATTACTGGCTGTGTGTGCAAGAAATTTGAGAGTTCTAACTTAGTTATTGTAGAAGTTAGTAGGGGTCTCAAATAGACCCTTTACTGCTCAAAAAGCGAACGCATTTTTTGAGTTTTAAAAAATTCATAACTTTTTTAAAAATGGACATACACCAATAAATTTGGTGTTTCTGTTCTGATGAAAACAGTCTCTATCAGGTGGAAGTGTTAAATTTTATTTAATTTCATTATAAAAATTTCATTTTGAATACCTAGTTATAGGGGAACTTCTAAAATGAAAGTTGTCTCACAATAAGTTGCAGTTATGGGGTACAGTATATGGGGCGGCATGGCCTAGCAGTAGAGCTGGTCTGCTAACCCAGGAGTCTTGAGTTCAAATTCAGATTTAGTCAGTGGAATGTGTCAGAGTCCACTCAGCTCTGATGGGTTCTTAATTCCATTCAGAGAAAGTAGAGATGGCTGGGTATAGTGCTGACCACAGTATCCCTTTGTATGCCGAGGTCAAGAAACATGAACTCTACTTCATCTGCCCAATGGATCGCTAGGGATTCAGTACGCTCATGTTGCTATGTGGTTACAATTTTCATAATGTCATCGGACCAACTATTTAACCTCTCAGCTTATTTCGGCTTGTAAATATTGTTTGTTAGTTGTTTTTTTTAAATATATGACATAACTAATAAGATGTGATGTCTATATGGGGTATACGATGTTATAAATTTGTTTGTTTGTCTTCTCTCTCTCATAGGGTGCAACTTGTGTATACAACAAACATGGGAAAATGCTGGAGACTTATACATCTTCATTACCTAATGGATCTCCTAATGCCTCCAATGAAAAGGGTAAACTATCTAGTTGACAGCAGTAGTCTTTACATTTCTAATGATTTTATTCTAACTTGATTATCCTTATTTCTATTTTTTCTGTGGATAACAAAATTTAGATTTACCCTTTTTTACAAAGCATAGTTGGAGGTTGCTAGGGATTTAAAGGATTGTTGCAATGTGATAAAAATATCTAGTTTTAATTATTTGGTTCTGTTTTTATGTTTGTTGGGTTTCATACATTTAAATTCTGATAAATTTCCTGATAATTAAAGTCATCTTTTAAATATTATGTTTATTAAATCTTCTCATATTAATTTTTTTTGCATTAAATTATATAGTATAATTTATTTGGAAAATTTTCAACAAACGTAATGTAAACAGAAAGGCATTTTTATGGAAAATTGATACTTTTACTACAGAAAAAAGGTTTCTTTAGTGAACTTCCCTGTTTTTAAAAACAAAATGTAGAATCGCCTACTTCAAAATGCTTATGTTTATATTACCAATATTGAATTTGTTATTTTATATTTTATCCCATGTTACCAACAGGTTTAGTAGTGCTGGATAGCTTATGGTGTGGTATAGCCAAAAAGTTTTACATTATTGATGTCATGCACTGGCGCAAGCAGCCATTTTATGATGCTGAGGTAACTAGTAATAAATCTATCCAACTCTTGTCATGAGTAGTAAACTAACCCTAACCCTGAGTAAATAAAGCAACACCAATTTTAGATAGTCAGAAATATATTATTATAATCACACTTTTTGGTAAATGTTTTTACATCATGTGTATTTTGTTTTTCAGGCAGCTTTTCGCTTTTTTTGGTTACAAGATAAGATAACCAATGTGACATTAAAGTCAGGAAAAAGAGAGGTAAGTCATTTAATTTTTCTCATTAGAGATGTACTTAAAAGCTTTATTTTACTGATAAATAAATTCAGTTAAAAACTCAGCAATGGTGGTGACATTTGAGGATTTCATGAGTCCAGTAGAGAGGATTGTATTCTTTAATATTGTGTAGCATAATTTGGCCATTTATTTCCATTATTTGAGTTGTCTACCTTTGTCAGGCTTTGACTATAATGCTTCTCCATTGTATGATACCATTTTTTTCAGTGGCCTTTGGAGCTTTTACCCAAGTATCCCAGTGACAAAGCAACCCTTTTGGAAGCCTTGAATAAAGTTGACTTTAAGGTTAGCATCATATGGGGAGCACTTACTAAATTATTTTGTCTCTATTTGTTAAAGTATTTGATTCCAGTTAAAACATGGCTGTGTTTAAGAAGTTATTATTGTAAGATCACAAGGACTAGACACCACTTATATTTTTGTTACAATTCTAAACATTAAAAACATTTTAACTCTCATATATATTACAGTTTTAGTTCAACAAATCCATTTTAACTTTGAAATAGGTAGATGGCCTGCTGTGTTTTGAAAAATGTAGCATCTATTCAAAGCATGTTGGTACCAATGTCTTGTGGTTGAAGCTGGACATGATGGGGGAGATCCTGGGCTATCCACCCCCAGGTCACATCAGTTTCAAGCCCATCACTGACAAGGAGAGGAAACAGAGGGATTATTTTATCAATTTGAAGAGTGGGAAGGTGAAGGTTGAACTAACAGATGGTGAGAGGGGTGATGGGATAGGAGATGGAAGTTAAGGGGTGAGGGGTGATGGGATAGGAGATGAGGGGTGATGGGATAGGAGATGAGGGGTGATGGGATAGGAGATCTAAGGTGAGGGGTGATGGGATAGGAGATCTAAGGTGAGGGGTGATGGGATAGGAGATCTAAGGTGAGGGGTGATGGGATAGGAGATCTAAGGTGAGGGGTGATGGGATAGGAGATGTAAGTTAAAGGGTGAGGGGTGATAGGATAGGAGATGTTAGTTGAGGGGTGATGGGATAGGAGATGTAAGTTAAAGGGTGAGGGGTGATAGGATAGGAGATGTTAGTTGAGGGGTGATAGGATAGGAGATGAGGGGTGATGGGATAGGAGATGAAAGGTGAGAGGACTTGAGACTAAAGTTAAAGGAACAAATTATTACTTTCTATGACATGTACACCACTGATATTCATTGAGTACTTCATGACATACAAGACCATTGGTGTCTTTATATGGTTGTATATTTTTTTTTATTGTTATATGTGGAAGTATGCCGAGTTTGTACATAATTATCTATATCCATTGAACAATTGAAAAGTTTGCTCATTTAAATTTTACATTATTTTTTCTCAGTATTTTTACTTTCAATTAAAAGGCATTCGCATTGATTTCAATTATATTTATGTTTTAATGAGAACTCTTATGAAAGAGCTTTATTTGATTAAATGCACTTATAAAAAATAAATGAATTCACTGAATAGACTATTGTAGTTTAAATTGAATGCTTTAAGTATTGAATGGAATGGTTATATCCAAACAAAATAACTTACATTTATCATTTGCAATGATTTGGCTTTAGTAGTCCATCAGTTTCAGTTCATGTTTTGAAACTACTTGATCTACTTGCAACTATGCTTGCTTGAATCTGCTTTCCCTCAACACATGCTTTATCTAGTCCACTCTAGTCAACTAGCTGAATGTGTCTCACACCTCATCAGATACATCAGGAGTCCACTTGCCAGTATTGCTACATTACTTTAGATAGATTTTCTCTGGAGTTATCTGTTTACAAACCATGTTTATTAATCTTTCAATCTTTTTTTTTCTGTTAAAAGTTTATTTTGAAATATATTTTTTAAATTTAAAAAAAAAAAATAAATTCTGCAGATTTACACTTTATTCTATAAAGTCTCTAAATTTTTTTTTCCAAAAGGAGTTATAAAGCATTTGCAAGTGGATTTCTTAAATAACTGCCTATTATTGTACATCTGTAGTTCATTATAGAGGTTACCTTAAATCGACCCAAAGTCATTAACTGTTTTTATGAATTTGTATTATTTTTGTTTTTTACTCATGAGTCAATAAAAGTATTAATTATTACCCCCATAATATTATTTTTTATATTGATTTTTCCAGTGTTATTTCACTGCTCATAGACGTATCACATTGCATTTTGATGTGTATATGTTGTCTCTACCAATCAGTATTTGATATAGTGTGATGATTAGATCTGGGCATTATTTTAAAACAATTATATGTTTTATTTGTGGGTCTGCCCTTTTTCATAATTGTGAAATAAAATATTTGAACAATTTCATGGCCATTATATTGCCTTGTAAAATGTTGTAAATTATAACTTTTGCATAATAATTGTTGTTAAACTGATTTGTTTAGAACAATATAATGTTTAAGTACTAGCTATATAATTGAATATTTTTGCTTAACCTAGCTGTACATTTGTAAAATTTAACAATTATAAATGTTATTTTTTCCAGACTAAGAATCATTCCATTTTTTACAAAATTGACTGCTATCATTTATGCCAATATCCTGTTAACTAGAAGCCATTCAGAGGCATTTTCATTCAAATTCATCTAGTTCATTATGATATGAATGGTTGTTTATTTAGAACATTACAGTTTTGCTGGTCATTTGCACTCATTGTTAGTGGTGTTTTAGTTATACATTTATTTTCTTACAATTTTTTTTTTCAAAATCAAATTTAATGAATATTTTTAAAGCATTTATTTTCCCCTTTATAAGTGGCTGAAATGTTACGTAGTATTTTTTTTTTATATTGTGGGGTTAAAATGGTACAAAAAATATTTTATTTTAAATATTCTATTTCTAGTTATTTTTTTTTTTTAACTTTGTGGAATTCAGTGCTAATGTTGGTCGTATGTCTATATGGGATTCAGTGCTATTTCTGGTACAAAAGAATTTATAGACTTGTACTGGGTTTTTTCTTTGTTTGTTTTGTATACTTAAGTCTCTTTGTGTTGTAATACTTCATCATCTGTTGCTGTTGCCATGTGCACTCCCACCCACAATGTGTAAATGTGTACAAACAGATGGTGCAGGTAATATTACATATTATGGACAAATATTACATTTTCTTATTTCTAAATCCAGTTCATGGATGTGTTGAATATCACTTTTCTAACATTTATCTTTCATACGTTATAAATAATGTTCATTATTTACACTCACATAAAAAAAAATGACTTACATGAGTTTTTCTGTTTAACAGGGTTTGGTTTTGTTTCATAAATCTATACCGAATTCATATTTTTAAAATGCATTTATTTTTAATTTCTTTTGCAATAAATAAAATTGTTTTATTGACAAAGCTTTTTAGTGTTTCTTTGAGAAAATGTGAAGTTTTAGACTGATTCAGGAGTTCAAGGGTGTTGACTAACAGGAGGGGGGGGGGGGTGGACATGGAGAGGAGCTTTTGTAAAGCATTAGCTTCCATTTGACCAAAGTACATTTTTTTTGTTTAAAGGTTAACGCAGAAGTGATTTATAATAGTCAAATAAAATATGTTTCCTGATGTTACTACATAGCATGGCCAAGAAGAACATAGGTTTTTGAAAAAAAAAAGATTAATTAAAAAATGAAAAGAATTTCATTAGTAATTAGAACCTAAGATATATTTAACTTTATAAAAATGCGTGTACGGGGACATATTGAGTATAATTATAAATTTAATATATATTATTATATACTGATTGTTGCATTTAGTCTTTTGGTAGTGATTGGTTACCTCCCTTGTGCCCTTTATTTCCCCTCTTGCAAGTGATGACGAAAAAAGTGAGAAAAAAATAAAACTAAGTAACAATTTTCTTACATGTGTCACGAACTAAAATAATATCTAAGAAATACAAGCAGAAAAGTTAAATTGTATAAAATAAAGCTTTTCTTGAGTGTGAATAATTGATTTAGGCCTTCCCGCTTACTCACTCCCAGTGAACCACCTTCCCGTTATCATGCAGCCTACTTAAATAGTGAGTTACAGAGAAGACAGTTGGGTAAAACCACGTGTCCCAATTCTGACAGATTGTCAAGGGATGGTTGCGCGATAATTAACACTTTATAATCGAGGCTTTTCGATTATTCAATCAAAAATGTCCGTCTGTAATGGGTTCTATGGGTTGATAACTCTGGATAACTTTTGGTCTTTTTCCGCAACTATGGTGGTCTCCCCTGAATCCCCAGAACACCTGCAGAGTTACTGCGCGTTTGATTTTTAGAGCCGCTTTCGTTAGCTACTAATGAGGCAGGATGACGGGAGAGGAGCGACACACTAGCTCGCTGGTGCTCGGCTCAGTAGTGTTTTTGAAGAGAGGGATTGTCTTTATATGACGTCAGGAATATATCAAATGTGTGTGTGTGTGTGTGTGTGTGGGGGGGGGGGGGGGTTGTATGTGAAAAACGTGCGGCGTCAATTCGGCCAATGACGAAACGGCCCCGTCAAAACGGCCCCGACAAAACGACCTCGTCAAAACGACCCCGTCAAATCGGCCCCGTCAAAAGGGTCAGCGACATATGGACCCCGTCATATAGGCTCCCGACAAATAGGCTCCCGTCATTTAGGCTACCGACAAATAGGCTCCCGTTATATAGGCTCCCGACAAAAGGGCTCCAGTCAATAAGGCTCCTGACAAATAGGCTCCCGTCATTTTGGCTCCCGACATATAGTCTCCCGTCATTTAGTTTTTTCCACAAAACGGCCCCCGTCATTACGACTCCCGACAAATAGGCTCCCGCCATTTAGTTTCTCCACAAAACGGCCCCCGTCATTACGACTCCCGACAAATAGGCTAGCGTCATTACGACTCCCGACAAATAGGCTCCCGCCATTTAGTTTCTCCACAAAACGGCCCCCGTCATTACGACTCCCGACAAATAGGCTAGCGTCATTTTGGCTCCCGACAAAAAGGCTCCTGTCAATTTGGCTCCAGACAAAAGGACCACTGACACAGTGGCGTAGCTACCGTAAAGCTAGCGTAAGCAAGGCATGGGGGCCCAAGGCACATAGGGGCCCTTTTCCCTCATAAAAAATTAAAACTTTTACAATGGAATTTTAATATTTGTTACATATAAATAATTTTAAAAAAGAAAAAGATTAAAAGTTCCAAATAGCCCCCCCCCCCCCCCCCCCCACCGTTTCGGCAGTGGGATTCAGTGTTTGTGGGTCAAACAGAGCCCAATCGTTATAATAACACTACAGGCTATATCACTTTGTCGTGCAAGACATTGAGAGAATCAGCCTATAAATAAACTTTTTAGCAGTAGTAGGCAAGCATAATAATATAGTATAAATACAAAATCAGGACATATAAAATACAAAATGTTGCCTTCAGAATATTTATATATTAAAAAATATCCATCGTAAGTAGAAGTTGATCTCTTCGTTTAACTCCTCTGTAGCCTAACGCAGAGGCGTAGCGAAGGCGAGGCGGGGGGTGCGGACCGCAATGGGTGACACCATTTAGGGGGGGTGACACCAAAGGCAAAAAATTGTAAAATTTATAGAATGAAATGCCATTTTCCAGATCCATTAGTTAAAGTTAAATAGTCTTCTAAGTACAAATCGAAAATTATATCAAGAGGGGGGGGGGGGGGGGTGTGTGACACCACGACGTAAACGTAAACTATAAAGAAAACAATGCTACATCCAACTGTATTAGAAACAGACTGTAGATAAACATCGTTACTATTAAGTCAGCAGTGATTAAAGCTTAAGCACGTACGTGTACCAGTATGTGGCATATA